AAAAAAGTTTTCAGACCCTATTTCAAATGCAATACCAAACAAAGGTGGCATCTAAAAAGCAACATTTTCAAATTAAGACGTCTGAAAAGTGCAATCAAAGGCCACCTAAGTTTAGGGGATTTAGCATCACCATTAAAGTCTTGGTCATAAATCATAACATTTGGCCAAACGAAATCTCTTAACATTACATTGTACAACATCACTGTATTTAAATAGCTAATATTAACTATTTAATTATCTAATTATATGTTATTAATGAAGTAATATTTAGAAATTATTATTTTATTAATTATCTAGTTATTATTTAATTACATTTTTAATTATTTAATTATTTATTAATTCRTTACTAAAATAATTAAATATTAAATATGTTATTATTAATTTTAGTGAAATCATTAATTAAAAATTTGTTCTTTAAATATATTAATTATTTTTTTAATTATACAACTATTTAATATTAGTTATAAATAATCATTAATTAGTAATGTTAATTATTAATTTTGTAAATAATTAATAATTTATATTCATTTAATTAATTGGTAACTAGTTTGTTAAAAGTCAAACAACTTTCTCATATCTAGGGTTAAAATAGTTAATTGCCATTTTTCAGAACTTAGCATTTAGATTTTAGAACAACATTCTTTCCATTTAGACTTCAAATTAAGAAGAGAAAAGTTCACAAACTCCAATACACCTTTAAAGGTAATTATTACAGTTTCATAGGAATTTGGATGTCAATGTTCAGTGCAAACAAATAGGCTCTAAGAGCACTTGTTATGTGATGTCACCCTCTCATAGTATAAGAGAGCAAGGCAGAGGGTTAAAACACACTTTGCAAATGATTMTTGTCAAGAGTATAGATTAGTTTATGATTATGTTGTAGTGTGTGTTAGGTCTAATCCTAGTAGTTCAGTGTATGTCAAAGTTCAAAGAGGGAATAAGGGTGAGAAACCAATTCTCAAGAGATTTTATGTCTGTTTTGATGCATGTAAGAAGGTTGATTTTCAAATTGAAGTGGAAAAGCTTAGGAGGTTGAAGCCTGTTACTAAAGATGAATTGATGAGAATAGACCCTTTAGCTTGGTCAAAGGCATATTTTTGGACATCATCTAAGTGTGATTGTGTTGACAACATGTTTGAGACATTCAATGGAGGCATCATTGAGTTTAGACATAAAGCCTTTATTTCAAAGCTAGAGGATATGAAAGTGAAAATAATGTTAATGATAGTGGGAAAAAAAGTTGCCTTTAAGTTCAAAAGAGTATTTGTACCCAAGATATGGGAAAGGATTAAGGAATATAAAGAATAGAGTGCTTGGGCTTGAGTGATTTGGATTGGAGAGTCAGGGTATGAGGTCCAAGAAGATGCAAGCAAATTTGTTGTTGACAAGATAAAGCAGACATGCACCTGTAGGAAATGGGACTTAACTAGCATACCTTGCCCTCATGTCATATGTGCCATTCTATATAGAAAGGAGAAGATAGAAGCTTATSTGGCACAGTAAGGAAGCTTTCTTGAATACATATAAGTATGCCATGTGGCTAGTGATTCGGATGAAATTTTGTCCTAAGTTCACTACTGAAGCACCTGAGCCACTGGCACCTATGAAGAAGAGAGGAAGGCCTAAGAAAAAAAGGGTTCTAGAGGAATGGGAGACACTCTTCAGGGTACAAGGTTTGGCATGAGAGGTAAGATGATGACATGCTAATATTAATACAAGCATGAACACAATAAGAGAACATGTCCTAATAAGAAGACTAATAGGTTGAAGGTATATTCATCCATAACTTAGTTCACCCGTTTGACCACTTATTTTATTTTAGCAATGTTGCTAGAAACGAGCAATCTATCCAATATACTCTAAAGAATCATAATTTAAAGTGCTTGAAACAAAGACGTCCATAGAAACTAAGATTGGTGAATGTTACACGATTTTAGAGAGGATGACATAAGAGTTGCAAGGCTCGCATGTAGGATTGTTGATTGGTGGAGAACAAAATGACAAATCTCAAAGAAGAACCTATACTTGCAATTGATGAAAATAATAAACAATCAATGGAAAATAAAACAAACAATGTGAGGAGAACAAAAGGAAAAAAATATACTTACATGACAATCCATATGAGTTATGAGAATGGCCAGGTTGAGTGTATATGGAGGAAGAAGAAAATAGAAAGTTATAACAATGAAAAACAAAATCTTCTTACCATATTTTATCTAGAAGAATGACTCACATCATTTATTATTTAATTTGAGATTCACAACTTATGCTTATATGCTATATTTGATTTTGGGTTCTTATTTAATTTAGAAAATTAAATCAGGTTTAATTTTCAATTAACAATTTATTCTTTTTTTTTTAAACCTATGGAGTAGTAGGCATGGCAAAATTCTAAGTACATGACACTATTATTTTGTTTGAGATTCGATACTTGTACAATAAGTTTAATTTGAGTATTTTAGGAAGGTGGAGATATTTTAGGAAGAAGCATTTGATAATTGAGTATTTTATGAGAGTATAGAATTATAAATAATGTTAAAATTTWAAAAAAAAATGTAAGTTTAGACAAATAGTGTATAAGGGTGTAGATCTAG